TCACAGGGAGGGTGAGTGTTCACAGGGAGGGTTAGCGTTCGGTTCACAGGGAGGGTTAGTGTTCACAGGGCTGAGGTTTACAGGGAAGGTTAGGTTGAGGTTACATGGAGGGTGATTAGTGTTAGGGTTGTAGGTTCACAGGGAGGGTTAGGGCTAGATCACAGAGAGAGTTAGTGTTAGGGCTAGGTTCACAGGGAGGGTGTTAGGTTCACAGGGAGGATTAGTGTTAGGTTCACAGGGAGGGTTAGTGTTAGTGTTAGGTTCACAGGGAGGGTTAGTGTTAGGGCTAGGTTCACAGGGAGGATTAGTGTTCAGTGTTTAGGTTCACAGGGAGGGTTAGTGTTAGGGCTAGGTTCACAGGGAGGATTAGTGTTAGTGTTAGGTTCACAGGGAGGGTTAGTGTTAGGGCTAGGTTCACAGGGAAGGTTAGGTTGAGGTTACATGGAGGAGTTTAGTGTTAGGGTTAGGTTCACAGGGAGGGTTTAGGGCTAGGTTCACAGGAAGGGTTAGTGTTAGGGCTAGGTTCACAGGAGGGTTAGTGTTAGGGCTAGGTTCACAGGAAGGGTTAGTGTTAGGGCTAGGTTCACAGGAAGGGTTAGTGTTAGGGCTAGGTTCAGAGGGTTAGGGTTAGTGTGTTAGGGCTAGGTTCACAGGAAGGGTTAGTGTTAGGGCTAGGTTCACAGGAAGGGTTAGTGTTAGGGCTAGGTTCACAGGAAGGGTTAGTGTTAGGGCTAGGTTCACAGGAAGGGTTAGTGTTAGGGCTAGGTTCAGAGGGAGGGTTAGTGTTAGGGCTAGGTTCACAGGAAGGGTTAGTGTTAGGGCTAGGTTCACAGGAAGGGTTAGTGTTAGGGCTAGGTTCAGAGGGAGGGTTAGTGTTAGGGCTAGGTTCACAGGAAGGGTTAGTGTTAGGGCTAGGCTCACAGGGAAGGTTAGGGCTAGGTTCACAAAGAGATTACGGATTTAGGTTACATGGAGGACATGTCTTAGGACTAGGTTTACATGGAGGGTGAGGTTGAGGTTACTGGGAGGATTAGTTTTAGTGCAAGGTTTATAGGGAGGGTTAGTATAAGGGTTAGGTTCACAGGGAGGGTTAAGGCTGACATTACAAGGAGGGTTAATCTTAGTGTCAGGTTTACATTAGGGTTAGATTTGTGGTTACAGGGAGGATAAGTGTTAAGTCTAGTACTAACAGGAAAGGGGAGGGTTGGGGTAAAGAAAGGGTGATAGGGAAGGTTAAATCTAGCTTTACAGGGATGATGTAAGTGTTGGAGTTACCTCAAAAACAGCCATCGCTGAGCTCCCAGCATCAAAAGAAAATCGCAACTGCAAGATATCTGGGAGAGGTAACAAGCCCTTCTGATGTATGGAAGCTCTGACTATTGCCCCCTAGGGTAGCCTTAACCAGTCCCAACTCCAGAATTGGTCCATTCAAGATTACATGTTCATCCTAAATCCCTGCATTGGGGAACTGAACTCACCCCTCTTTCGGATCCTCACAAGAATCCTGTCATGTGTGACTACTCAATGCTTGGCTGCCTTCAGTTTCATAGCTATTGCTAATACAGACAGGAATATGTGCTTAGCAATCCTCTGAAAAAGCAATCGGCAGCGGCTTGCTACTCAGAATAGCTGCAACTCTGTGTGAAGTATCTGCTGTGCCCTGTATGTATACAGACAACCTCAGGCAGATCAGAGAGTCCCAGCTATGAGTGTGATATTTTTACTATTATGAATGTACAGGAAGCTCTGACCGTTCAGTCATAATAATGGCAGATCACTCAGCACCGCAGATCACTCAGCACCGCAGATCACTCAGCACCGCAGATCACTCAGCACCGCAGATCACTCAGCACCGCAGATCACTCAGCACCGCAGATCACTCAGCACCGCAGCGGTGTGTGGCTATCTGCAGTTGCTTTTCATACACACAGCCCAGGAATATGGATCATACAGTGCCGTGGAATCTTTCACTATTAACCACTTTCCGTCCGGCAGTTGTATATTAACGGCCAGACGGTGGCCGTTTATAAACGGCCTCCCGGCACCCTGCTTGTGCGCGCTCCCTGGGAGCGTGCAGCACAGCGATCCGGTGCCCGCTGTGTCCTGCAACACTGATCGTCGTATGGGACCTCTGTGAGAGGTCCCGATCATGTGATCACTGATTGGCCAATCAGTGATCACATGCAGAGTAGTAAGCAAGATGTCACTTCTAACATCATTGCTTACTACGTGTGAAATCTGTGAATGATCACAGAGGTCACATGGTACAGGGCTATTCACAACAGCCTTGTACCATGTGACAAGCTGTGACCAATCACAGCTCACACAGTAGTTCTCAATGGCTGCAAGAATGCAGACAGAGAGAAAGAGAAAATGATTGCTTTTACAGCCTTTATGGGTGTAAATGCAATCAGTGTAAAAAAAAATCTTCATCACCCCCACAAGTAGTACAGTGTCACCATGATGACATTGTACTGCTAGGGTGACAGTATGTAAAAAAAAAAAAAAATAAATAAATAAAATAAAATGATTAAAAATTATAATTTTTGGTTATAAACTAATTTGGATTTTTTTTTTTTACTAAAAAGATAACGGAATACATTTTGGCCAAGATATGATGAAATATTATTTATTTGCAACATTTTATAAGAAAAACACTTTTCAAAATTTTTGGACTTTTTCATTTACATAGCAAAAAAAATAAAAATCCCAGTGGTGAATAAATACCACCAAAATAAAGCTTTATGTCTCAAAAAAAATGCTAAGAAATTCATATAGGTACAGGGTTGCATGACCGCACAATTGTCATTCAAAGTGTGATAGCGCTGAAAGCTGAAAATTGGCCTGAACAGGAAGGGGGGGAAAGGGTCCGGACTGGAAGGGGGGGGAAAGGGTCCGGACTGGAAGGGGGGGGGAAAGGGTCCGGACTGGAAGGGGGGGGAAAGGGTCCGGACTGGAAGGGGGGGGAAAGGGTCCGGACTGGAAGGGGGGGGAAAGGGTCCGGACTGGAAGGGGGGGGAAGGGTCCGGACTGGAAGGGGGGGAAAGTGTCCGGACTGGAAGGGGGGGGGAAAGTGTCCGGACTGGAAGGGGGGGAAAGTGTCCCGGACTGGAAGGGGGGGGAAAGTGTCCGGACTGGAAGGGGGGGAAAGTGTCCGGACTGGAAGGGGGGGAAAGTGTCCGGACTGGAAGGGGGGGAAAGTGTCCGGAAAGTGGACTGGAAAGGGGGGGAAAGTGTCCGGACTGGAAGGGGGGGAAAAGTGTCCGGACTGGAAGGGGTTAATGAATGCTCAGTAATGTCAGGCCAGTGCCATGTATGACATAGCCCCCCCCCCCCACAGTTCATTTAGAAAAACAAAAGATCACACAACACTGGTGCGCAATGTGATCCATCATATTGATAAGCAGATGCAGATAAACATACAGCCCCACAGGCTCTGCCATTTTGTAATTCCCAGCCAGAGACCAGAGTAGTCACCTTACAGATCTATCTTCTTTTTACCAGCGTGGTCAGACAGCCCCCGGAGAACCTGTCCAACCATGCTGCTCAAAAAAACCGAGAGATAGATTAGAACGGGGCCAAGTGCTACATGAACTTGGCCTGCTGGGGAAATAAATAAAATTTAAAAAGGTTTAGTGAAACTACTTCTTTATTTAAAAATATATTTATTGAGTTTTCACAATTATACACACAAAACAAAAAATCACGAAGTCCAAAAAGAAGAGAGACTACTTCTTTAATGCAATTATTACATACAGCAGATTCTCACCTGGGCAGTAGCAGCGCAGGACCCCTGATTGGATGAGGGATGCAGGGACAGTCACATGATCAAAAACACAGGAATAGGAGTCGGAGTCTTCCACCCATGGTCCCGTTATAAGAATCTTGACACCTCCCTGTTTGCGAAAACAGAGAACAGTGAGACCTTTATAAAGAGTGTAATTATGTTGTGAAGCAGAAGAGCTGGATGGACAGTTGGATAAATGGTTCTATATTTAGGATGTATCCGGTCTATAAACCAGAGGCTCTGGATAGACAGTTGGATAAATGGCTCTATATTTAGGATGTATCCGGTCTATAAACCAGAGGCTCTGGATGGACGGTTGGATAAATGGCTCTATATTTAGGATGTATCTGGCCTATAAACCAGAGGCTCTGGATGGACAGTTGGATAAATGGTTCTATATTTAGGATGTATCCGGTCTATAAACCAGAGGCTCTGGATGGACAGTTGGATAAATGGTTCTATATTTAGGATGTATCCGGTCTATAAACCAGAGGCTCTGGATGGACAGTTCGATAAATGGCTCTATATTTAGGATGTATGCGGTCTATAAACCAGAGGCTCTGGATGGACGGTTGGATAAATGGTTCTATATTTAGGATGTATCCGGTCTATAAACCAGAGGCTCTGGATGGACGGTTGGATAAATGGCTCTATATTTAGGATGTACCGTATTTTTCGCTCCATAAGACGCACTTTTTTTCCCCCAAAAAAGGGGGGAAAATGTCAGTGCGTCTTATGGAGCGAATATAGAGCGGCTGGTCCGGTATTTCCACCGCCGCCGTGTGAGAATACCGGGCCGGCCGCTCAGCTCTGCAGTGGGACCTTACCTGTTCCTCTGTCCAGCGGCGCGCTGTCTTCCCGGCTTCTGTAGTGTGCGTGACAGCCGGGTGCCAAGTGCGCATGCGGAAGAAGCAGTGCTCTTTGTGAATGGTAAGGCGGTACCTGGGACACATGACAGATCCCAGAAGCCGCCGGACCAATCACAAAAGCGCAGCGCTTCTCGCGCATGCGCACTGGGCATCCGGCTGTCCGACGAGCGCCCACACTACAGAAGCCGGAAGACAGCGCGCGGCTGGATAGAGGAACAGGTAAGATAAAAAAAAAAAAAACTCTGCGGAAGTAAGAGCGGGTACCTGTCAAATTCAGGTACCCGCTCCCCCCTCCTCCCCAAAGGTCAGCAGTCATCTCCTGTACTGTCCGCAGTCTCTGGTCATCCCTGTGCTGTCTGCAGTCTTTGGTCATCCCTGTGCTGTCCGCAGTCTCTGGCCATCTCCTCTACTATGTCTGCAGTCCATTAGTTCAGAATTTTTTTTTCCTGTTTTCTGCCTCTAAAACCTAGGGTGCGTCTTATGGAGCGAAAAAAAAGACGGTATTTGGTTTATAAACCAGAGGCTCTGGATGGACGGTTGGATAAATGGTTCTATATTTAGGATGTATCCGGTCTATAAACCAGAGGCTCTGGATGGACAGTTGGATAAATGGCTCTATATTTAGGATGTATCCGGTCTATAAACCAGAGGCTCTGGATGGACAGTTGGATAAATGGTTCTATATTTAGGATGTATCTGGTCCATAAACCAGAGGCTCTGGATGGACAGTTGGATAAATGGTTCTATATTTAGGATGTATCCAGTCCATACACCAGAGGCTTTGGATGGACAGTTGGATAAATGGTTCTATATTTAGGATGTATCTGGTCTTTAAACCAGAGTCTCTGGATGGACAGTTGGACAAATATTTCTATATTTAGGATGTATCCGGCCTGTAAACCAGAGGCTCTGGATGGACGGTTGGACAAATATTTCTATATTTAGGATGTATCCGGCCTGTAAACCAGAGGCTCTGGATATACATATGGATAAATGGCTCTATAGTTAGGATGTATTTGGGCTACGATTCAGTTGCTGCGGGTAGGCATTTGAACAAATGCCTCTATAATAAGGCTGTAAACTAGTTCCAGATGTACAGGTACCAAGAACAATTTGAAAGGCTTTGCCCACTAAACAGGTCCCTTTCATAGTCCTTGAAAAGAAGCCAGTGAGTGATCCAACCAAACACTGACCCGAAATGGAAATATCAGCCATGGGTAGACTGTGAACTAAAGGAAGCAGCACTTGATTTCTAACAATAAAACTAGACAGTGGACAGAGATGGGTTACCTCTGGGTAGGACCACTCTGGTGAAAAGTCTGTGATCCCCACTAGTCCTATGGATCCATCACCCGCCTCTGAAAATGAATCAGGAACTGCTGAGGTTCCGGTGTTCATGGCCTGCATCTGCTGAGGTGGAGGATGTTGCTGCACTTGCTGTTGTTGTCCGTAGATGGCCTGGACAGGAGAAGAACTGGCCTGAGGGTCACCAAACTGTTCATAGCTCCCTGGGGCAGATTCCTCCGTCATCAGGTCAGATATGAGGTCCGGAAATTGACTGTCAAAAGAGATATTGAAGTTTTCAGCAGAGAGCTCCATGTGGACGCTGGAAGCGCCAGAGGAAGAGCTTAAGTCATTCTGGATGATGGAGTAAAGGTCATTCATGTGGCTTCCTGAAGCTTCACCATCTTCCTGAGTTTCAACAGTGGACACGACTTCTGTTTGGACTTCATCGCTGGAGCTGACTTGCCCTTCCCTTGTATCCTCCATCTCCACCTCTGAACTATGGCTGGTGCTTTCCTCTACCTTGTTACTCTGTTCTTCCATCACGGTTTTCTCCACAGCGGAATTCTCATCCTCCACCTTCGCAACCAGGTCTGATTGGGTCAGCTCGCTTGATTCCATAAGGCTACTGACTTGGGACCCTGCGATCCCTCCATCATTTGTCTCCGTCTTGAACCCCTCAGTTTTAGCTGCACCTCCATAAGTCTGTCCCTCCTTCGGACTATTAAGGAAAGAGTCGGGGTCGAAAGTTCCAGCGCTGCCCCCAGAAGCTGCCTCCATTGCTACCTCCAGACTATGAGATGAAGAAAGCAGAAGGCCCTCCACAGGTGAGGGCAGAAGGGAAATACCGATGGGTACAGCGGCAGGCTGGGTTCCAGCATCAGCTGGCATCAAATGCTGGCTTGGAGTCAATGCCAGAGGCTTTTCAGGTATTCCGGTCATCACCAGTACTGCGCTGATGCCGGGAACACCAGGGGTGGTGGTTATGGTAACCCCAGCTAGTTCTCGGTCAGTGTAGAAGCCATTGGAGAGAGCCAGTGGTGGTGAGGTCTGGGTGGTATCAGGAAGCTCAGGGAAGGAATGTGAGGAGCTGGGGTCATTCCCCGAAGGCGTCTTGCCACCCTTATTTCCTGGCCTCCGGTCTTTGCCTTGGTCGGGCTCTGCTGAGGTGGATGAAATGTTCTGGACCTCCGTGAGGGCAGGGAAGGGACACAGTCGAGGCTCCACCTTCGGAGAGATGATGCGGTGCTTCGTACTGGTGCATTTGTGAGGCACACCACCCGCTGACCCTAAGGAAGAGCAGAAGTGACAGTTTACTACTTTTCCCACAACTTTTTCTACAAGCTTGTGGAAAGCCTCTTCAAGGGATACTCTACTGTGGGCAGCACAGTGGCTTAGTGGTTAGCACTTCTGCCTTCCAGCATTTAAGTTCTCAGTTTGAAGCCAAGACACTCTCTGCATGGAGTTTGCATGAGTTTTCTCCCATAATCCAAAGACATGCTAAATTGGCACTAACATGTGTATGTATGCAAGTGAGATAGGGTGCTTACCTTGTAAGCTTGAGTGCAGGCAGTGATGTGAATATATAGAATGTAAATCATTGCATTATTGTTGGCGCTATATATTGTAAATGCCAGGAATAGGTAATTAACCCCTTGGCGTCGGCGCTTCCCGGCCCTTTAAGGGTTTCAGAAGCCGGGAGGCAGGGTTTAGGGTCATGTGACCGCTGTGACACGCCGTCACATGATCAAGAAAGGTCCCGATCGAAAGAGGAGATCAGGACCTTTCCGTGAGTACCGGACATGTGTTTGGGGAGCACGCAGGGCACGCGCTCTCAGCACGTCTTTTTTTAATAAAACGCAAATGTGCGGCCGCTCGGCGTCTAGGCCCAGACACCGGGAAGCCGCACATTTGCGTTCGGCAGGCATGAAGAGGTTAATGAAAATCTTAAAACCCAAACCCTCCGTGATTTAGCCTGTGCTATTCCAACCAGCCACAGTGCTAACCAGAAATCTGAACAATGAAACCAGACACACATCTCATTATTGGGATGTATCAGGAACTCAATATTGGCAAAAAAACAAACAAAAAAAAACAAAAAACATTGTCACTAGGTTGCCCCTTTTGGCTGTCACAGGGCTTCTTTAGCGAACCCACAATTAAAGCAGAACTAAAGCTCCACTGGTACTCACTGACAGCAGGCAGATGTTTTTTTATTGCAATGCCTCTTCTGCAATAAAATACATCTACCTGCCTCCTCCCAGCACGTAAACTGAGATGTGCATGCACAGCTCAGCCAACAGCGGCCGACCCGATTCCTGTGTGGCGGGATGACGTTACTCTGCGCATGTGCAGGAGTAACGTCATCCTGCGCCGACCAATGAAGATGGCTGAAATCCGATGCACGGAAGATGATGTCGGCATCAGTAAGGTATGAGGACCATTGTAGGATAGGCGAGCATAGCTGCTTTTAGTTCGCTGTAATTTCAATTTAGTGCGAAACAAATGGCAACTCGGTGCTGGACAATGAGCCCAAAAGAAGCTATGTGTACCACAAAGGGAGATCTGATTGCAGTTTCAGACTAAAGACAACTGTTGACCCTTATACAGTGAGGGAAATAAATATTTGCTCCCCTGCTGATTTTGAATGTTTGCCCACTCACAAAGAAATGATCAGTCTAAAAATCGAATGGTAGGTGTACCAAACCTAGGGAGACTGACAGTTGTTTTGTGTTTCTTCCATTTGTGAATGATTGCACCAACTGTTGTCACCTTCTCACCAAGCTGCTTGGCCATAGTTTGATAGCCCAGTCCAGCCTTGTGTAGGTCTACCATCTTGTCCCCGACATCCTTGGATAGCTTTTTGGTCTTTGCCATGGTGGAGAGTTTGGAATCTGATTGTTTGATTGCTCCTGTGGACAGGTGTCTTTTATACAGGTAACACAATGAGATTAGCAGCACTCCCTTTAAGAGACTGCTTCTAATCTCAGCTTGTTACCTGTATGAGAGACACCTGGTAGCCAGAAATCCTGCTGAATGATAGGGGATCAAATACTTATTTCCCTCATGAACATGCAGATCAGTCATCATTTGTTAGACATGCATTTTCTTTTGAATTTTTTATTGCTATTCTGTCTCTCAGTGTTACAATACACCGAACATTCGATTTTTAGACCGATCATTTCTTTGTGAGTGGGCAAACATTAAAAATCAGCAGGGGAGCAAATACTTATTTTCTTCACTGTACATAGTTACAGTTATTCTGGCTGTAAAAAGACAAAAGTCCATCCAGTTCAATCATAAAAAAAAAAAAAAAAAAAAAAAAAAAAAGGTAGAACCCTACACCCACAGTTTATCCAGAGGAAGACAAAAAAAAAAAAAAAAAAAACAGTAAAGCATGATCCAATTTGCTCCTGCAGGGGAAAAAAAATCCTTCCTAATCCGAGAGGCAATCGGATATTCCCTGGATCAACTTTCCCTATAAATGTTATATCCAGTTATATTCTGTGTATCCAAGAAAGGATCCAGGACTTTCCTACAGCAATCCACTGAGCGGTTTATAGAGTTTTATCTTTCTGTTTCAGTAGATTTTTTATTAATTTTTTAAAAGTCACAAAGCAAGGGCTGGATACAACAAAGAATATGGCACTAGACAAACCTAATCCAAGGCCAGATGCGATGCACCCCAAATCACACAACAGTCTCAACAGGAGTACATAAAGGCAGGCTAGCGGCTAGAAGAAACGAGGGCTGGATAAAGGTACAGTCAGGTCCATAAATATTGGGACATGGACACAATTCTAACATTTTTGGCTCTATACACCACCACAATGGATTTGAAATGAAACAAACAAGATGTGCTTTAACTGCAGACTGTCAGCTTTAATTTGAGGGTATTTACATCCAAATCAGGTGAACGGTGTAGGAATTACAACAGCTTGCATATGTGCCTCCCACTTGTTAAGGGACCAAAAGTAATGGGACAATTGGCTTCTCAGCTGTTTCATGGCCAGGTGTGTGTTATTCCCTCATTATCCCAATTACAATGAGCAGATAAAAGGTCCAAAGTTCATTTCAAGTGTGCTATTTGCATTTGGAATCTGTTGCTGTCAACTCTCAAGATGAGATCCAAAGAGCTGTCACTATCAGTGAAGCCATCATTAGGCTGAAAAAACAAAACAAACCCATCAGAGAGATAGCAAAAACATTAGGCGTGGCCAAAACAACTGTTTGGAACATTCTTAAAAAGAAGGAGCGCACCGGTGAGCTCAGCAACACCAAAAGACCCGGAAGACCACAGAAAACAACTGTGGAGGATGAGTGAAGAATTCTTTCCCTGGTGAAGAAAACACCCTTCACAACAGTTGGCCAGATCAAGAACACTCTCCAGGAGGTAGGTGTATGTGTGTCAAAGTCACCAATCAAGAGAAGACTTCACCAGAGTGAATACAGAGGGTTCACCACAAGATGGAAACCATTGGTGAGCCTCAAAAACAGGAAGGCCAGATTAGAGTTTGCCAAACGACATGTAAAAAAGCCTTCACAGTTCTGGAACAACATCCTATGGACAGATGAGACCGACATCAACTTGTACCAGAGTGATGGGAAGAGAAGAGTATGGAGAAGGAAAGGAACTGCTCATGATCCTAAGCATACCACCTCATCAGTGATCATGGTGGTGGTAGTGTCATGGCGTGGGCATGTATGGCTGCCAATGGAACTGCTTCTCTTGTATTTATTGATGATGTGACTGCTGACAAAAGCAGCCGGATGAATTGTGAAGTGTTTCGGGCAATATTATCGGCTCATATTCAGCCAAATGCTTCACAACTCATTGGACGCTTCACAGTGCAGATGGACAATGACCCAAAGCATACTGCAAAAGCAACCAAAGAGTTTTTTAAGGGAAAGAAGTGGAATGTTCTGCAATGGCCAAGTCAATCACCTGACCTGAATCCGATTGAACATTTCACTTGCTGAAGACAAAACTGAAGGGAAAATGCCCCAAGAACAAGCAGGAACTGAAGACAGTTGCAGTGGAGGCCTGGCAGAGCATCACCAGGGATGAAACCCAGCGTCTGGTGATGTCTATGCGTTCCACACTTCAGGCTGTCATTGACTGCAAAGGATTTGCAACCAAGTATTAAAAAGTGAAAGTTTGATTTATGATTATTATTCTGTCCCATTACTTTTGGTCCCTTAACAAGTGGGAGGCACATATGCAAACTGTTGTAATTCCTACACCGTTCACCTGATTTGGATGTAAATACCCTCAAATTAAAGCTGACAGTCTGCAGTTAAAGCTCATCTTGTTAATTTCACTTCAAATCCATTGTAGTGGTGTATAGAGCCAAAAATGTTAGAATTGTGTTCGATGTCCCAATATTTATGGACCTGACTGTATATTCATAAGATGAGGGGTGAAGCCTACATGATCACAGTGCACAGCCAGACCACCTATGTATATGATTTCAGGGTAACCCAGCTGCCAAGTTGGTGTCATCTAGAAAAATACAATGTGGTACTATGTTGAATTGAACAACGTAGAGCTGCACAGTGTTTCACCGCTATGGAAGCTCTCAGCTGCCGGGGTGGTCTGTGTGGTGCATGATTCAGCGCATCATTCCACTCCCTTTTTATTTTTGCTTAGTACAAATTTTATTTGAAATATACAACACATCCACGGCATTGTACACTTTGTTGCTGTACATTGCAGTGCGATTCGGCGTGGTGTGTTGAGATAAACTGCAGCATTTCTGCATTGCAGTGCAGCTATAGGCTGTGCGGCAGTGTGAGTGAACACAGACGAAGCAATTGTTCTCTGTGTGTCCCTCTGCAGGGACAGGTGTTTTTAGCATGCAGGGAAGCGTCTGTCACCGCATACAGTATGAATTCACCTTTAAGTATGAGCCATGAGACAAGGAAATGAGAAAAGAAAGACAAGTAGCAGAGAAAAGAGTGGGCCAGGAATGGACGGGGTATAGAAAGGGGTAGAAAGGACCCAATTTCCAGGGGAATGGAGGAGATATAGAAAAAGAAAAAAAAAAAAAGTAGGGAAGGGTTATATTGTTAATAGAAAACAATCATCCCTGATTCACACTGATGCGAATTGTCATGCGATTTGACGGTTCAAATCACGACAAGCCGCATGCAACGATCAGCAACAGAATTGTTCTAATCAGTGCAACTCCGACCAAGTCAGAGTCACACCGATTAGAAAAGTAGTTTCTGCCGATTTGGGGTGCGACTTGCATAGACATGTTTGTATGAAGTCGCACAGATATCTATCAAGCCGCACCCCAAGTCGCACTGCCATCTAACTTTGAAATCAAAAGTGAAGTGGCATGGTTTTAAAGTTGACCCAGCTTAAAGTCATTTGAAAGGTGATCAAGGAACAAGGAGTCAACCATTTTATTTTTACTAGTCAGCTACCAGGTGACTTTATTCTTGTATTTCAATGATTTTTAGTACTTTATAAATATTTAAAAAAAAACAGGAGCAACAAGACACGCCCACGCAGGGGCCATCAAGGTCACTTTATTCTTAACCAGTTACCACCCGCGTAACACAAACGTGCGACAGCAAAAGGGTAGGCCTTAATCTACACACACTGCCCATACGCATCGCTGGGTGGCTGATGTTTAAGTGCCAAGAGAGCGTTCCGAGCACAGAGACCAAGTTGTCAGAGATTTGTATTCACCTACATGGCATGATGGTGCAGCTGCCCCCGTCCGCCTCTAGACTATGAACTGAGCAATCAAAGAGCGCTGATCTCTCAGTTGTTGGTCTTCAGTGAACAGAGAGCCGCTGTCAGTCACTGGTTCTCTGCTCTTCCCACCCAGTGCTCACTGGAGCGCCGGGCTATGGAGGGGATGGGAGCAGCTGGCTCAGGCTCTCAGCGGGATGCTGTGGGTCAGACATCTGGGTGAATCCATCAATTGTTGGGATCTCTGCTTAGCATGGACTGGCTCCATGATGTTAAAATGACAGAGGACTTTAGCCCGCTGTCGGCTGAATCTGAGTCACAGGAGTGCAGAACCAAGTGGACTCCTGTACCTCACAGGAACATAACCAAAAAAGCTTTGACTAAACTTCTCCTTTAACAATTTGCCAACCGCGCTATATAACCGAATGACGGCTACACCGAGGTTGTCCAGTTCTGGGAGGGCGTCACATGACGTCCTCCTAGAACGCGCCCTCAAGCACGCGCCCAGTGATCTCCGTGTCCTATGGACGCAGCTGATCACATGATGTGGTAAAAGGCCTTTTACCACGTGATCAGCTGTGTCCACTGACACAGCAGATCACCCGTAAATGCAGTTGCTGGTTATCGGCTGCACTTTCTGCACACTATCACAACGTGAGGAAAGTACTGCTGATAACTGGCAATTGTCAGAGGACAGATTGGCACTGATGATCCGTGCCACCCACCAGTGCCGCCTACCTGTGCTCAGCAGTGCCACCCACCAGTGCCGCCTACCTGTGCTCAGCAGTGCCACCCACCAGTGCCGCCTACCTGTGCTCAGCAGTGCCACCCACCAGTGCCGCCTACCTGTGCTCAGCAGTGCCACCCACCAAAGCTCATCAGTGCTGCCCATCAGTGCAGCCTCAACAGCACACATCAGTGAAGGAGAAAAATTACCTGTTTGCAAAATTTTATAATAGAAACAAAGAAAAATTTCTTTTTTCAAAATGTTTTGCTTTTTTTTTTTGTTTATAGCGCAAAAAATAAAACACCCAGCGGTGATTAACTAGTTGCCAACCACAGATAGCCGAATGACGGCTGCACTGCGGCCGGCCAGTTCTGGGTGGACGTCATATGACGTCCTCCCAGAACACGCTCTCCTGCGCGCCCCAGAGGGCGCGCACCTGGGGATCTCCGAGATCGCTGTGTCCTACGGACACAGCTGATCACGTGATGTGGTAAAAGGCCAATCACAGCGGCCTTTTACCACGTGATCAGCGGTGTCCAATGACACGCTGATCACTGGGAAATGCAAGTGCCGGTTGCACTTTCCTCACGCTGTCAGATCGTGAGGAAAGTACTGCCGAGAACCGGCAGTTGTCAGAGCGGGGATCGGCACCGATCATCAGTGCCACCCACAAGTTCTGCCCACCTGTGCCCAGCAGTGCGCCCACTAGCTCCGCCCACCTGTGCCCAGCAGATCACCCACCTGTGCCCAGCAGTGCCACCCACCTGTGCCCAGAAGTGCCACCTACCTGTGCCCAGAAGTGCCACCCACCTGTGCCCACCAGTGCCACCCACCTGTGCCCACCCACCAGTGCCACCCACCAGTGCAGCCCAGTGGTTGTGCCAGTCAGTGCCCAGCAGTGATGCCAGTCAGTGCCGTCTATCAGTACCCATCATCAGTGCCGCCTATCAGTGCTGCATATTAGTGCCGCCTATCCGTGACACCTCATTAGTGCTTCCTATCAGTGCCGCCTATCCGTGCCACCTCATTAGTACTGCCTATCAGTGCCCTATAGTGCTGCCTATCAGTGCCGCCTATCAGTGCCCATCAGTGCCGCCTCATCAACGCACATCAGTGGAGGAGAAAAATTACCTGTTTGAAAAATTTTATAATAAAAACAAAGAAACTTTTTTTTTTTCAAATTTTTTGCATTTTTTTTATTTATAGCGCAAATAGTAAAGCGCCCAGTGGCAATTAAATACCACCAACAGAAAGCTCTATTTGTGAGAAAAAAATGATCAAAATTTCATATGGGTACAATGTTGCATGACCGCGCAATTGTCAAAGTGCGGCAGCGCTGAAAGCTGAAAATTGGCCTGGTAAGGAAGGGGGTATAAGTGCCCGGTAGGCAAGTGGTTAAATACCACTAAAAGAAAGCTCTATTTGTGTGAAAAAAAAGATAAGAATTTCATATGGGAACAGTGTTGCATGACCGTGCAATTGTCATTCAAAGTGCAACAGCGCAGAAAGCTGGGCCTGGGTAAAAAGGGGGTATAAGTGCCCGGTAGACAAGGGGTTAACAGCCAAAAAAGCAGCAAATAGGAGAAGTTCACAGTTAGGGTGCTACGGATTACATCCACTTAAAAGGTCATCTTCAGGCATGTACACGCTAGTTCCACCCCACCTCTGGGGGAGGACGAGATGTCAGACACTCACCCAGATTGGTGTTACACAGACAAGTGTGAGTGCGAGGAGGCGGCTTGGCCTGGTGCGTCTCCAGCGTCTGTTGCACGAGCTGCTCTATGGAGAATTCACTGGTTCCGTTTCCGTTGCTGCAGGACCATTTAATGCCATGAACTGTGGAGGAGACAGAAGGGTGAACTGGTGACCTCATAGATCAATGCCATGTGACCATCCATTGTCAGTACACAAAGGTGCCTAGGCACACTCACAATCCAGGAAATACTGATATTCTTCAGGAGGACTACCAGACAAAAAGGGGACATTGTCAGGGTACTACTTAGGAACACTTAACATTTCCAGATTTTCCCTCTAACAGAGCAAATCTTCACATTTTGAGTTCAGTTCCACTTTAACCTCCCTAGCGGTCTGATTGTGTCAGTATTTCTGTGCTCAAAGCGGTACATTTTTTTGCATGGAAATATGTATTTTTTTTAATTGTAGGCCTGTAATTTTTAGGAATGACTCACTGAAATCTGTCTGAACAAGAGTCTAGTAAACATCCCGGGGAGGATAAAATTTGAAACACAAAATCATAAATTATAATTTAATAAATAATCATAAAAAAATAATAATAAATTTAGTTCAATAATATAATCAAACCAAAAACACTGAAATGTGAAATAGAGCGCCAAGTTCACACATCGCTGAGCTCAGTCGCAGAATCGTTTTCAGTGTCTGATGAGGAATTTCCCCCACCAATCATTATCACTCAATTCTGCAAGTGGTTCTGATTTACTATCGCTGTTCTCTAGCCGGTCTAAAACCGCTTTTGACCTAAAAGGACGCTTTTTGGACGCCATGGACGTTTCTCAGTTTCCAGGCAGAAAGGGCGGTAAAAGCGCAGGCAGGGCGCCGGACAAAGCACTCGGGACAAAATGTATGTGAAATGGTTTGATACAGGAATGTTATACTATGTGATTTTAGTGTATTTAGTGAATGTCACTTTTTCACATTTTTTAATTTCCCGCCAGTTCCGACGTCGCAGGGACCGGAACCCAGAAGACGGATGCTGGCATCGGCCGGAGGAGATGGCCGGGGACACTGCAGGGGGGACATCGCGGGAGCGCAGGACAAGGTAAGTGAAGAAGAGATCCCGGAGCAACGCTGCAGTGTATTCCCGAGTGTAGCTCGGGGGGGTTACCGCTTGTGGTGATGAAACTTTACCCCGAGCTACACTCGGGAATACCGCCAGGGGGGTTAAAGGAGAAATGATAACAAAAAAAAAAAACAAAACACATTTTTGCAGATAAAAAAATGTGCATTTAATAATTTTTCCAGCAGAGGCCTGGAAAGAACTGCACCCATGATCAGAAGCTGTGGGCTCTTGCAGACATGTCCTCAGGCTTTCAACCAACCCTCTGTACAGAGAACATATCAATAGACTACGCAAAGCGCTCATCTGCACCCCCACAGCTCATTTACAAGTACGTCTTCAGCGGTGGCAGACAGTACTTGCAGTTTATTCACTCGCAGGAATCTGTAAATGAATGATGTAGGCGGAGCCTCGCACAGAGGAGCACTTTACAAAGTGACAGGGAGTGCGAGAAGAACTCTTGCCTGTTGTCACAGGGAAGGGGAATCAGGGAGAGAGGGGGGGGTCGGAGCAGGAATATCTTACATCATATTCCACACGAAATATTGGTGAAATATGTAACTTATCCAAAGGTGAACTTATCCTTTAATACAACTCTATGTTAACATCCGAGCTCTCCAATCAGCAAATGGCCCTCTGATTCCCTTCCCCCCTCCCTCCCCGGGGCCCTAGGTACTTACACATGGGTTTGAGCTGACTGATCAATTCTTCTTTGCTCCATTTCATCCATTCCTTGCGGTCACTGCTGGTGGAGCAGAGAATCGGGCCGCAGATCTTACCGCAGTCCTCGATGGCTGGGACATTGAGATAGTGGACCAAGACAATGTCGGGGTTCTGAAAAAGACATTATTGTGTGTTACAGCAGCGGGAGAGAGGTGAATGATTGCACCGGAGTGACAACAATTTGGGAAAGGAGAAAAAGAACAGATTTATATAAGCCGACTGCCGTACAAAGCAACACCTCCTAATCCTTGCAGCAACACAAAACGGAAATGTGATTTCTCCACCTAGAAATCACAAATAATGATTGGTCAGTGATCTGGGATCATGTCATTGCAAACAAGTGATCCATCGTGGATTAAAGCGATTCTAAACGCTTCATTTTTATAAGGTGCCACCACAGCAAGCAGCTGTCCACTCACACACTGAGCCGCGGCTTGCCCCCCCCCCCAAATTGGCTGACTGGCTGTGATTGACAGCAATTGATGTCTCAGCCAATGAGGAGGCTGAGACCCGGGACAGCTGAGGCTGTCATTCACATCGCTGGATTGCAATGAGGCTCAGGTAAAGTGGGGGGGCTGGGGGAGGTGTTGCACACAGGTCATATAAAGCCATTTATTAAAAAACCTTCAGCCTTAACCGCTTTAACCACTTCCTGTCCGGCCCATGTACATAAACAGAGGGACGGGAGCAGTGCAGGAGCGGGTTACCGTTCATAAATGGCGCCTGCATTTACAGCCTGTGCTCCCTGGGAGCGCGCAGCACCGCGATTCCGTGCCCGCTGTGTCCTCCAGAAACAGTGGAACCCCAATTGCTGTACGGGACCTCTATGTGAGGTCCCGATCATGTGATCACTGATTGCCCAAGGGTGGCTGTTTATAAATGGTCTCCACACCCCCTGCTTGCACACACTCCCTGGGAGCGGGCAGCACTGCGCTACGGTGCCCAGGGTGTCCTCCGGACACAATGGTACACCGATCGTCGTATGGGACCTCTGTGCAAGGACCCGATCAGTGATCACATGCAGAGTAGTAAGCAAGATGTCACTTCTGACATCATTGCTTACTACTAGTGAAATCTGTGAATGATCACCGAGGTCACATTGTTGAATAGAGGTTGTGAATAGCCTTGTACCATGTGACAAGCTGTGACCAATCACAGCTCACACAGTATTTCTCAATGGCTGCAAGAATGTAGCCGGAAAAGTAGAAATGATTGCTTTTACAGCCTGTATGGGTGTAAAAGCAATCACCGCAAAAAAAAATTAAAATATTCATCACCCCCCACAAAGTAGTACAGTGTCACTAAAGTGACACTGTACTGCTAGGGTGACAGTATGTCAAAAAAATAAATAAATAAAAATTTAAAAAGTTTTTGAAAAATTATAATTTTTGGTTATAAACTAATTTGGGTTATTTTTTATTTTTTTACGAAACAGATAACTGAATAAATTTTGGCCAAGATTTATGATAAAAGATTATTTATTTTGCAAAATTGTATAAGAAAAACACTGTCAAAATTTTTGGACTTTCATTTATATAGCAAAAAAATATAAAAATCCCAGTGGTGAACAAATACCACCAAAATAAAGTTTTATGTCTAAAAAAAAATGCTAAAAAATTCATATGGGTACAGTGTTGCATGACCGCGCAATTGTCATTCAAAGTGTGATAGCGCTGAAAGCTGAAAATTGGCCTGGACAGGAAGAGGGGTGAAAGTGTCCGGACTGGAAGGGGGGGGGGAAAGCGCCCGGACTGGAAGGGGGGGGGGAAAGCGCCCGGACTGGAAGGGGGGGGGAAAGCGCCCGGACTGGAAGGGGGGGGGGGGAAGCGCCCGGACTGGAAGGGGGGGGGAAAGCGCCCCGACTGGAAGGGGGGGGGAAAGCGCCCCGACTGGAAGGGGGGGGGGGGGGGGGAAGCGCCCGGACTGGAAGGGGGGGGGGAAGCGCCCCGACTGGAAGGGGGGGGGGGGGAAGCGCCCCGACTGGAAGGGGGGGGGGGGGAAGCGCCCCGACTGGAAGGGGGGGGGGAAGCGCCCCGACTGGAAGGGGGGGGGGGAAGCGCCCCGACTGGAAGGGGGGGGGGGGAAGCGCCCCGACTGGAAGGGGGGGGGGGAAGCGCCCCGACTGGAAGGGGGGGGGGGAAGCGCCCCGACTGGAAGGGGGGGGGGGAAGCGCCCCGACTGGAAGGGGGGGGGGGAAGCGCCCCGACTGGAAGGGGGGGGGGGGGAAAGCGCCCCGACTGGAAGGGGGGGGGGGGGGGGGAAGCGCCCCGACTGGAAGGGGGGGGGGGGGAAGCGCCCCGACTGGAAGGGGGGGGGGGGAAGCGCCCCGACTGGAAGGGGGGGGGGGGAAAGCGTCCCGACTGGAAGGGGGGGAAAGCGTCCCGACTGGAAGGGGGGGGAAAGCGTCCCGACTGGAAGGGGGGGGAAAGCGTCCCGACTGGAAGGGGGGGAAAGCGTCCCGACTGGAAGGGGGGGGAAAGCGTCCCGACTGGAAGGGGGGGGAAAGCGTCCCGACTGGAAGGGGGGGGAAAGCGTCCCGACTGGAAGGGGGGGGAAAGCGTCCCGACTGGAAGGGGGGGGAAAGCGTCCCGACTGGAAGGGGGGGGAAAGCGCGTCCCGACTGGAAGGGGGGGGAAAGCGTCCCGACTGGAAGGGGGGGGAAAGCGTCCCGACTGGAAGGGGGGGGAAAGCGTCCCGACTGGAAGGGGGGGGAAAGCGTCCCGACTGGAAGGGGGGGGAAAGCGTCCCGACTGGAAGGGGGGGGAAAGCGTCCCGACTGGAAGGGGGGGGAAAGCGTCCCGACTGGAAGGGGGGGGAAAGCGTCCCGACTGGAAGGGGGGGGAAAGCGTCCCGACTGGAAGGGGGGGGAAGCGTCCCGACTGGAAGGGGGGGGAAAGCGTCCCGACTGGAAGGGGGGGGGAAGCGTCCCGACTGGAAGAAGGGGGGGGGAAGCGTCCCGACTGGAAGGGGGGGGAAAGCGTCCCGACTGGAAGGGGGGGGGAAGCGTCCCGACTGGAAGGGGGGGGAAAGCGTCCCGACTGGAAGGGGGGGGGAAGCGTCCCGACTGGAAGGGGGGAGGAAAGCGTCCCGACTGGAAGTGGTTAAACGATAAGAGGAGAAGAAAAAAAAAAAAGGATCACTCATTGATCACGGGGGGGGGGGGGGGGGGGGGGGGGGGGGGGGGGCGGGGGGGGGGGGGGGGGGTATCAGCATCTGAGTGACCAAAGTTAGTAGACATTTGTCCTCTTTCACTCTCAAACTTGCACTGCATTGGTTACAAAAGCCGTGGTACGTTTACACCACAATGTCCACTACAAAACAGCAAAAGAAATCCGTGTGGCCCGCTGAGGTCACCTAGTGGCTGCACACATGGCAGCACGGTATGACCCAGCTATCACCAGTTTATTTCAGGTACTTATATAGTGCGGTCAGTTTACTCCGCGCTTTACATATATATTGTACATTCACATCAGTCCCTGACCCTCAAGGGGTGTACAATCTAAGGTCCCTGTCCTCAAGGGGTGTACAATCTAAGGTCCCTAATTCACATTCATACATACACATACTAGGGACAATTTAGACAGGAGCCAATTCACCTCCCAGCATGTCTTTTGGAGTGTGGGAGGAAACCAGTGTACCCGGAGGAAACCCACGCAGGCACAGGGAGAACATGCAAACTCCATGCAGGAGGCGCCATGGTCGGGAATCAAACCCATGACCCATTTACTGCAAGGCAGACGTGCTAACCACTAAGCCAATGTGCCGCCCATGAGTAATACATTCACATCAGTCCCTGACCCTCAAGGGCTGTACAGTCTAAGGTCCCTAACTCACACTCATACATACACATACTGGGATTCAACTAACCTACCAGCATGTCTCTGGAGTGTGGGAGGAAACCAGAATACTTGGCAGGCACAGGGAGAACATGAAAACTCCAGGCAGGTGGTGCCGTGGTTGGGATTCGAACCAATGACCCGAGTACTGCCAGGCGGACGTGCTAACCATTTAGCCACTGTGCTGCCTCACCTTTATAATGCTTTCTATGTGAGATATTTACTATACGGTCCTCATTGTCCTCTGTAAAAGGAAGGCAAAGCGTAAGTGTTTTAACAATTCAACTTTCAAAAGAGAAAAAACATTTACCATGCAGGTGATGGAGCCTCTGCATTCTGGGACCCTCATACACTCCTATTAGCTGTGCTCCCTTACCGCTCCTCGGCAGACAGCGCTGAAATCGGCTGTACTGTTGATGCAGGAGAGTGGTGACATCACACCCTGGTCACATGATCAGTGCCGATGCCTAGTGACTGTCTGTTGGACAAAGCACCACCTAAGAAGTGCAGGTCATATGCTCTACCCAGGGGGGGACTGACAACTCATGGGGCCCCCGGGCAATAGGAAATCATGGGGCCCGTGTCCTTGCCCACACTCAAAAAAGCCTATGAAAAAAGTTCCAGGGGCATTTCATGGGGCCCCATACTGACCCTAGGCCCTCAGGCAGTGCCCGAGTGCTGGAATGGTCAGTCCGCCCCTGGCTCTACCTATTTGCTGCCTTCAGGGGACGAAGGAAATGGAAGGCCGGCAGCTGAGATGAGCAAAAGGCAGTCCATTTGCAAAGATGCTCGTTCTGCCCTACATGGGTGTGGTAACTGTCTTTTAATGACCTCTCAGTCACATGTCTGTCTCCCAAATGTTACTGGTGGCCATCTGAACACATAACCGCCACTGGAAACTCCCTAACCTGGCTGTCACTGGAAGCCAGGCACAAATCTGTTCACACTGGATCCAGAACAAAAACGGTCACAAAGTATGTAAATCTGCAGTCAGCAGGTAGGATCACACCTCTATGTATGTGTGTATGTGTGTATGTATGTGTGTATGTGTGTATGTATGTATGTGTGTGTGTATGTATGTATGTGTGTGTGTATGTATGTATGTATGTATGTATGTATGTGTGTATGTATTTTGTGTATATGTATGTATGTGTGTATGTGTGTATGTATGTATTTGTGTTTTTATGTGTGTATGTATGTATTTGTTTATGTTGTTTGTATGTGTTTATGTATGTATGTTTGTATGTGTTTTATATTATGTTTGTTATGTGTGTT